CCAAAAATTTGTCGCTGTTTGTATGTATTTGAAGTTCTGCTTATCGAAATGAAATATTCTGGAAAAAATTACAATTTATTTTACTCGTATATATAGTATGAGGGACTATACTATCATAATCAATGTTTTTTATACCCTGTACCCGTAGGGTAAAAAGGGTATATTAGGTTTGTGCAAAGTATGTAACATACAGAAGGAAGCATCTCCGACCCCATAAAGTATATATATTCTTGATCAGCATGACGAGAGAAATCGATCTAGACATGTCCGTCCGTCTGGATGAACGCGAGAATCTCAGAAACTATAAAAGCTAGAATAACCAAAGTTGGCATCCAGATTCTCCTAGGTCCGAGTAAGGACGAGTTTATTTTTTTTTTTTTAATTTTCCCCCCCTTCCCCCGCTACAGAATTTCGTCAATAGCGTCCACATTTCAAATGCTACCTAAACCAAACTTTGCACACATAATTTATATATAATTGTCTACTTGTTTACTCTTATGTATACTCTTATGTATAGTATGAGAGACTATACTATCATAATCAATACTTTTCGCTCCTACTACTGTTCTTAACAACGGCTTTTATGCCTTGAGATTTTAATGAAAAGAATAGATTCACTCCTGTACATCTGGCTTAGGAAATAATTTCCAATGCGTTCGTTTTGGGAATCCCTCATGGCTTGGTGTCCAGGAAGTACTCTCCAACTATTGCATAACTAATCCATTTCCAATAGGTTTTCGTTATTGTTGACATAAAACGCCATTCAAACGAACGCTTATCGGGATTTGATTTTATGTTTTGTGCGGATATTTCGCTTTGTAGCCCACAGACATCATCATAATTGTTATATTCGATGTTTGCTTTCGAAAACTTTTCAACAAGACCCATTCATTGTCCGAATGCGAATTTGCCAGCTGTTTTCGTTTTTTCTTAATTTTTTTTTTATATTATTGTTAACATTACAACCATTTTTTTCGCTTTACAAACGTTGCTTTCCATCTGCATGGCAGACTCAAAAGCAGCGCAAAAATATAAAAAAAAAACCACTTCTAATCAAAATATCGATATCGTGGCCATAAAAGATATGCCAACAGCAACACCACCAACAACAACAACAAATGTGACGACTATTTTCATTTGTTTGAAGCCTGTTGACCCGTTGCCTCGTTTCTGTTATTGTTATTGTTGCAATATTTTTTTGCAACAATTGCTGAGCTCTTTTTTTTGGTTTTTTTTTTTTTTTTTTTTTTTTTTGTATTGCTCTCGTCTTATTTTTCAATTTTAATATACGAGTATGTACATTCATGGTGGTCTGAGCCGTGTGCGCCCTTTCGCAAATGTTCTACTAAATGCTCCCTCAGTCTCTTCCGATACAATACATATTCGGCATTAATCCAATTTGGTTTTTGGTGCCCGGGCGGCATGAGGCGCTAATTCAATTAGCGGTATTATGCGAGTATGCCGGCATTCGCGTTTATCGCTCGCCGGCGAAAAACAGAAAATACAACAACATAAACAACAACGAATGAAATACATAAAAAATAAATAAATAAATAAAAATTATAAAACAGAGAAGAAAACTTTGGCGCTGGCGAGACCTGCGGAGGAAGTCTGGGAGCCCAAAAGCCTGTAAAACACCTGGCGAGTGGCATTTTGGTTGGGGCCTGGCCCAATACTTTAATTGGAAATTATCACAGTGTTGTTAAGTACGCAACAGAAGTAAACACAACAGCAACAACAGCACATCTCCAAGATACCATGGCTTTAATCGCTGAATCGAAAGTGTAACAAAATGCAACAACAACAACAACAAAAAACACACGTAGAGAAAAAATGTCACCGATGTTAAGGGAAGACGGCTGGTATCTAACAGGATATGAAAAAGAACGCTGAAGCTCCCAAATCTGGACTCTTTTGTTTGTTTATTCAGACAAAAATAAACTTTTGGTTGAAAATAAATCTGCTTCCATATCTGTTTTGAACACAAAAAGTGAGTGATGGCGGAAGGGATGAACCATTTCCAATATTTGAGTATCAATATTGTGATTCCCTTCTGATGATGACAGCCCGATTGGAGAAACATTTATCCTGCAACCAAACTTTTTAAGGCATGTTTTTCTTTGGAGTTCTATTTCGGACTGTCCAGCTCAAGTCCAGACTTGAATGTCATTAAAAAGATATGTGGTATGTGGTGAAAATATAAATGCCAATTCATGAGAATTATTTGGATTTATAGGTTATGAAAATCATTTGGATTAATAGGTATTAAAGTTTTTACGAATAAATGTCCATTGAATTATTTTTTGAAGTTTCCATCACCAATCTATATACGAGTATGTATGTATATATAATATCTAACTGATTAGCGATCAACGATAGGAAACTAAAAATTCGGATCTATGGTTCTATGATGTATGTATGGTTTTTGGTTTCTGGAATGGCCTCTGAAGTTTGTTTGAAAAGTCTGGGTTTTTTAAACAAACATGGGTTTCATACTTAAAGAATTAACGTAATTTGTGGCGGGCTTTTTTTTTTTTTGGAAAAACTGGTACACCAAGACAAAAATCTATAATTTAAAAAAAATGCAGAAGACTCTGATCGCTTAAGACTTATGGGTCTACAGGAAATATAAAACGACACTTCGACTATTGAAGATAACGAATTTCTCTTACGAAATTTTTAAAAACAATTATATGATTTAATTAATGAATGTCCTTGATGTTTTGGATTTTGTGTTTTCATTTGATAACTGAATGATTGACGAAAGGCTAGAACTTTAAAAACATTCATATTATTTATTCATTATATTCATGTCAATTTTCTTTGTATTTGGTTCGTAGAAAGACTACATATATATTTTTATTAATTTGTAGGATCATTATCAATTATGTTTAAAAAGAAACCATTGCTGATCTGGCAGCTGCACTTAGGTGAGTTTTAATTTTGTTATAATGGGAAGTATGAATGCCTTCTATTTATACATTTGTGTGGCTCTTTTTTTTTTTTGAATGTTGCTGACGAGTTGACGAAGCGCGGGAACTCCCACTAGCGACTGACTAATCAATTGATTTTAATCAGAATTTCGATAAGCATTCAATAAGCACTCCTTAGCTGTTCATAAATATTTTTGTGATTATTCTATATGGATGTTATTTTATTCATTTATCGCCTTTCCTAGTTGACCTTTTATTTAGTGTACGAACCGACACGCTTACATGGGTATACAAATATATCCATATATGTATGTATGTATGTATGTATATATCTATGTACGTGTGTAAAAGTCGAGCAAGCGACCAACCTCAAAATTGTGCAAAGTGCAATGCTAACAGCATTTGTCATAACTAGATATGCACTAGAAGTGTGTGTTGTTGGTTGTTGCTTTTATAATTGTTATTGTTGCTGCAGTTGTTGTTGTTGTTGTAATTACCACGGCGCCAAGCGCCACACAAAGCATTAACATATGAATATGCATATGCATCTACAATTATACTTATGCTTCTTGTTGCCGACGTGACAGCCGGCGTTGCTCTGGGGCCAGGGGGGGCTACGACACCAGAGACTGGGAGAGGGAGTGGAAGAGGGAGAGAGTCAGTCACACATTGTTTTTAGCTTTTTAGCTCATTATGTCAGCGCTTTTTTTTGCTGCTGCTGCTGTTGTTGTTGTTGTTGTTTTTGTTTTGTCTTTTCATTGCTACTATTGTTATTGTTTTCGTTGACGCGGTTGGCTTTTGCCCCCCAATGCTGCCATTGGCCAACACCTGTCACATTATGCTGACCGAATCGGTGTATTGATGAAATGGCATATTGGCCCCCATTGGGTAAGTTGATATTTTGGGTTTCCCAAGCCGGTTATAATCGCACTTAGGACTTTAATCCAACATGCCAGAGCCTAGGGGAATGCGGGAGAACAACTTTCTGGCGACTGGTTCCTAGAGGGATTTTGAGATCGAAAGATTTCAGGTTTTTGGTACTCTATTAGGCATGAAATGTTGCTTTATCGGATCCGAGAATTGAAATTGACACTCGTTCCAGGCATACCTTCCTTTAATACATACTTTGATTTACTTGTTAATATAGTATACTTAATAAATAAAACACCATTTCATAAATTTTTTTATCGAGCAACATTTTTGAAATAGCACTACTATTATTTTGAGCACAGCTGTAGCGTTCATAATTGCGTAGCAAGATCTTTTAAGTGTTTTTCAAAACAGTAAAGCGATTTATCGTTAGCTTTTTTGCAAACAGCCAGGAACAGTTACAGACAATTTTGCAAATAAATAATATTATTCCGAAATTCAATCTGCCTTAGAAATTTTGAGTTAGCTGTGAGCCCCATTTGTATCCTGAAAACTCTTTTGAAATACCGAAACCCGTCTAGCCAGCAATCGTTTTAAAACTAAGACACGACAAACTTCCATTCTATTTATTTTTTATTAGAAAACAAACACTCCTTGACAAGTTTTATTACGAAACACCCAGACCAATTAAGTCTGTATACAAGTATACCTACATAAATCATAATGATATCGCTATTTAAACCGATCAATTACTTTTTATCTTTATTTATAACATTTATTTGGACATTTCATTTTTTTTATCAACCAACACAAACAATTGGTAGACAGCCAGACATTTTGATCAGCTTGCTGGAGCAAATGATAAATCTATGTATTAGTATTTACTATAATCGTATTGAAACAATTCATAAGAATTGTCTCCGAGAATTTTTCAATTAGGGGAGCAAACAAACAAACAAAGAGTAGAGACCAATTACTGACCTAGCCTTGCAAACATTCGTTTATACACACATACATATATAAATATACATATATATGCATGTGCATACATACATACATACATACATACATGCATGCGTACGCACAAAGCAAGCAAATTAAATAGAACAACAACAACACAGGCATAACACAGAAGTTGATCTCTAAGCACAAATTTTTCGCCTGTTATCTGTTTTCTGTTTTCTGCATGCCACTCACCTTCTAATGCCGAAAGAGAGCACAAAGCCAATGCACGGAGAGCGCTCTGTCGCTCCTGCTGCGCCTGTTCACAGAGTTTACAGTTTACAGAGGAAACAACAACTACTGCACTGCTGGCAGCTGCTGGATGCTGCGGCTGCGGCTCTGCTGCTGAGGATCAGTGAAGACGTTGACGACAACGCAGCAAGAGTTGTGCGTTTGCGTTTGCGTGGTTGTTGCTTTTGTTGTTGTTATTGGTAGTGTAGTTCAAAGCAGCAGCAAATTTTTGTTGTACTTGTTGTTGTTGTGCCGTCTGACGGTCGTTGCTATTTGTTGTTGGTATTGAATCCGGTTTTAAATTTCTTTCAACTTGTTGGAATTTTTTCTTATTTGCTTGTACATATGAATGTATGTATGTATGTATTTGTGTGTGTATGTATATAATTATTTTCGTTGTAGCTGCCGCGGCGGCCACTTCTCCTCCTTTAACGTGTTGCCTTTGCTTGACTTTTCTGAATGATGAAGATTTTTTTTTGGATTTAATTTATTCACGCACTGCACGACAAAAAATTACTCTTGTCGTTACTCTTGTAATGGCTATGTACATACAAACATGCATACATACGTTTTTTGATTTTATACACACAACAGAAAAAAAACAACAAAAAAAAACGACGAATATTATAGAGAAAGACGAACGCACAGATCAGCCCGAAATGCAATGGGAATAAGAGCGGTCATAAAAAAGGAAGCGCGAACGAACACAACAAAAAGACACGCACGCATAACACGTGAACGTAGCGACGGCGACGCGACGCAACGCAACGCGACGAATAACGCAAAATGCAGAGCAAAAGAAAGCGGCGGCAGCGACGCCTACACCGACACCGACACTTGTCCTGCGGCAATTAAACAACAGTAAATGCACTTTCTAATCAATTGCATTTGCGATGCTCCCGACTCGTTTTTTCGCTTTATTTTATAATTATAATTCGTTGTTTTGTTAATTTTTTTATTGTTTTATATGTTCATTTTATTAACATACATATGTATATTTTATTGGCTTACAAAGAAAACTGGGAAACTGGCGCGCCAAATTAACGTAAAAGAATTCGTACGAAACTACGCGACCAGTTTTATCAAAGCGGACAAGAAACTACCGCCAGCGACGCGCACTTCGTTGCGAATCAAATGAATGCCGGCTAACGACTAAACAAACGGACGAGTACGAGTGAAAATGAATCAAGCGGCGGCTAGCGACATGTTGCGTTGCTATAGTGGCTTTGTGTGCGCAACATGTTTTGTTTGGGCCATGACCATTACAAGGCGTTCGTTGTTGTTGTTGATGTTGCTGTTGTTGGGACTCCTACTGTTGACTGCTGCTGCTACTGCTGGTTGCAAAGCACGTACGCATGCGCGCCTGCCGCTTTGACAAATTGTGTGGCTGGCACAGCGCTGCCGCTTCAACCAATACCAATACGATACTGTTATTGTTCGATCTAATTAAATATTATAATTTGTTGAACGCAGCCAATGATTATTTATGCATACATATATGTAATCTGTAAGCCTGTAATAAGTATAAAGATGCATTGATGCTGACTGGTGTTCCAAAAATCATTGATGGAAACGTCAAAATGTTGCTAAACGTTTGGTGCATACACGTATGACTTATTATCAACATTTGTGATTTTTATTGCTTTACAAAAACACGAAATGCAGCAGCAGGCAGGCACACAAATACTCGCCAACACAAGCGCATCCCGCGCAACAGTTTGAATAACGCATGTATGTGTGTGGCGTGTGTGTGTGTGCGTGTGTGTGTGTAACAGACTATTCCAACATGTTCGCCTGGCACATTGCGACAGTGGACCGCAACATGTTGCGTGTTGTGTTGCCATGCACTTAACAGTGGCGCTGTTAAGTGCTAACATTGCTGTTAATCATACAGCAGCTAGTTACAGACATTTCGATTTTCAAGCCGGTTATTTACAAAATTAATTTCATTTTAATTAACACGTGCTTCTGACCCTGCTGCCAATTCAGCATAACAAATGAAGATACATAAATATGCATGAATATTTTGATTTGGGGGCATGCGAAGCACTATGCTGAGCAGTCAGTCGTCGCGTCGGTGGGATACGATTGTTTTTGTTTTTATTCCGCTCTTTATTACTTTCGTCAATCAAATGCGACATTTCTCTTGTTTGTTTTCAAATGTCCATCGCATAGGGAATTGGGCACTGAAAGAAGGAGTGGGCTGTAATTAAATAAATATACACAAATATGAAGATATGTAAATCAACTAAGCATTTATACAAACTTAATAAAATAAATAGGTTGTGTGGCAGGGTGTTGGAAGCTAATCACAATTGCCACCATTTTAGCAGTGTTGGGTAACGATTGCACTTCGGCTGCCAGTAAAGAGTGCTGTAAAATGCTTCCATTGTTCTTAAAGATATGTAAATCCACTAAGCTTTCATACAAATTTAAAAAAAATATGTAAGTTGCGTAGAAGGGTGTTGGAAGCGAATCCCCATTGCCACCATTTTAGTAGTGTTGAGTAACGATTGCACTTGGGCTGCCTGTAAAGAGTGCTATAAAATGCTTGCATTTTTCTTGGAGATCGTAAACTACTTGCTAAACCATGCCGTTCTTATAATAATTATTAATGAAATGCATTCTGGTTTTTATTAGCTTTTAATTACAATTATTTATATACAATTGCGATCTGTGTGTGTGTGTGTGTGTGTTGCATATTTATGGCCACAAGTCATTTGTTACTTGAAACCAAGCAAGGGATGCCCTTACTCCACTACTCTGTCGTAATTTTTACCGCGAAACCCCCTCCCCCCACCTTCCCCAAGTCGGCCCAAGCATGGCATAATGCGCTCGTAATTATGCACGTGTCAGCATCGCTTGGCCGCGAACTTTTGCGACCGCCGCCGGCGGTGCAGCGTTTGCCACCTGCCTGTCTGGCGACGACCCACGAGTAACAAACCGGCAACCTGGCAACCTGATATAGCCGGCTACTACTGGTAGTCCGTTGTCTATTATTTTGCATAAATGAACCCCCAGCAGGAAGCAGGGAAAAGTTTGCAGTCCATGGAGATTGCCGCACAAAAAGTGATTTATGTTTCTTTAATTTGCATAAGAAAATGTTGAGCACAAATTCTGGCCGGCCCTGCTGATTGCTTGTTTATTTATTCGCCTTCCCAGGCACTGGCACAGGCACAGGCTCGGGTAAGGGTACGGGTACGGGCACAGGAGAGTAGGATGCCGGGCATTATGCAGATCAAAATCGAAGCATTTTTGTAACGCCGATTAACAATGTGTGCACAAGAATTTCAATTGTTTTCATCTGCAAATCTTAATTGGGATCTAAACAGTTGTCGAGAAATTAAACATCTTAACGATAATGCCCGAAAAAGACGCCTCCAAAAATTGCAACATTTATTTAAATTACAGGAATTTTAGCAGGAGGAGTATTATATTGTTCATTGAATTTATTGGAACTGTGCAAAAACAAACAAAGAATAAACGAGTGAATAATTAATCCGATCCTACTATAGTTCTCCTGTTTGGTTAGTTTTTAAAGTAACTCTTGCTCTTCAACAAATTATAATCAAAAATTGTTTTTCTAACTCTTTGATTAACCCATAATTACTCGCTTTTTATCAAATCCCTTTTAAAGATAGATTTTATAAATTTTTAAGCAACTTTTGCTCTGCAACAAATAATAATCAAAAATTCTTCTTCTAACTCTTCTACAGACCTATAATTACTCGCTTTTTATCAAATCCCTTTTACAGATACATTTTAGAATTTATAAAGCCACTTTTGCTCTGCAACAAATTATAATCAAAAATTGTTTTTCTAACTCTTCTATAGACCTATAATTACTCGCTTTTTATCAAATCCCTTTTAAAGATAGATTTTAGAATTTATAAAGCAACTTTTGCTCTGCAACAAATTATAATCAAAAATTCTTCTTCTAACTCTTCTATTTTTGCAAAAATCGGTTTCATCGTTTGTTGCCAAAATATCCCATTATCCCCAGTATTACTTTTTCGGGGAATTGGATTTGCCATTGGAAGAAAGCGTTTTAGGGATGTCGAAGGCTTCTGAAGAAACACTCGTTCGAATAGGTTTTGGATTGAGTCGGAAGGTGATTTTATAAAAAAACCTTTTTATTTATTTATTTTTTTTTTTTTCAAAATATTAGCTCTGTGTTTCCATTTATAAAAAGACTCATTTGCTTTGGGAACGCACCTTATATCGTGAAAGAACTGAGCACGCGGTTAGTCACAGATTTGCAAACTATAGTATAAGCAATTTTTTTACGTTCTAGACAGCTCTGTAGGCCAGCTTCTGCGTCCATTGTTCCAATTATGTGTTTGTCTGAATGAACGCCTCAATATTGAAGACTGTAGGACATACAGGCAGCAAACTTTGCCTCAGCATCTCTCTGGCATTTGTGCATATAAAGGTTGCTCAAGATCGGAGCATAGCTGGCCAAATAGGAAATTAAATTCGCCCAACCTGTCGGAGACATTATAGTTTTTTATTTATTTATTTATTTATTTATTTATTTATTTATTATTATTATTATTATTATTATTATTATTATTATTATTATTATTATTATTATTATTATTATTATTATTATTATTATTATTATTATTATAAATTACTGCATAGTATAGTAATTTTTTATAATTATAGCATCAAATTATTCTATATGTTTGCTGTAAATGAATGTAAAGAACATCTTCTGGTAATCTGTATCGCCAGCATAATTTGTTGATTTATTAAATAAAATAAATACAATTTATTTATTCGAAAATGTGTCTATGAATTGCTCATGTACTGGGAATTGAATCAGCCCGCTGGATTAAGGGGAAATGGGAAATATAATCGCAGATCTTGATGCAAATGTTAAGGATATTGTGGGGAATACAATGTCTCTACACATCTCTGCTTGCTCACGTCTGCGACGTAAGCGGGCCAAGTCACGAGGCTATCGGTGCGACAGGTGTCCAACTGGTATTTGGACAGTTGGGAATTGTGGGGGGTTAGGTACAAAAAAGAAGAAGAAGGAAATTGAGCGCTGGGCGATGCGTAAGCAATCGTGTGTACTCAGCGGCATTTTAATGAGCTGCTGCCGACGTCATCGCCATCGCCATCGCCATCGCTATCATCATCATTGTTGTGATTGTATATATTTTGTTGCTTCCCCCCCCCCCTGCAGCCCCCCCCTTTGATTTTATTTCATTTGAATTTACTTGGATTTTTGCACTTGACTTTGAAATTGAAAATAGACAACGAACAAGCGACGCGGGGTAATTGTGTAATTAAATGCTCATTGTTGTAGTTGCCGCAATTGTTGTTGTTGCTGTTGTAGTTTGCTGTAATTGTTGATGTTGATGTTGCTGCCACGTCTAGCCAAGTAAATGCATTTAAATGCCAGCAAGCGCTCTGCCGATCCATTCGCACCTGTGCATATTTGAATAGCTATAGTTGTTGTTGTTGTTGTTATTGTTGTGGCTAGTGCTGGTAATGTTGTTGTTGCTGTTGCTGTTGTTACTGTCGTAGCAGCTAATTGTCGACCTTGGCAACAGCTCAGTGTCAAAAGCATAGGCCGAAAATTTATCAACAATTTTGAATGCCAATGCCAACTCGTTGTCCATTTTATGTTATTTACTCTGCTTTGCATTTCAATTTCGATTTCAACAACAGGCAACAACAGCAACAACAACAAAAATTCCACTGACTAATTCCGTTTGACACTCGGATTCTGGAACAGACATGCCAAAAAAAAAATGCACACAAAAATGTAATTTCAATAAAAGGGCATGGAAATTCTATATTTATGAAAATATATGTTCTTTGTTTTGGGATTTACTTAAGAGCCAGCAGTAACCGACAAAAAAACAACAAAAACAACAACAATTGGCCAAGAAATATCTCTCTATTATTTCTCAGCATATCATCCTTTAAGCTTGATACAGTGTTTATGGTACATATGTATATTAAAAAAAAGAAAAAAAATGAATTAAATTTAGCGCTAGTACACTTATAAAAAAAACACTGAAATTTCAATATAGATTTAACTATTTTTACCATCGATTTTGCACCATCGTGTGTTTTAGTAAATATAAATTTAATATGAAAACATTAAATTTAAAGCGTGA